AAAAAAAAAAAAAAACGACTTTATCATATGATAAATACACAAGAGATAATGCTATTTAAAATGTTGCAAAACTAAATTACATAATTATTTAAAACAACTATTATAAAAACAAATAAGACCTAAACTCATCCATTGTCATTATATTGACCTCATGTCATGAAAGAAAGAACTCAATTTTAAATTTTAGACATAAAAGAGGTAGAAAAATAGGACAGAAGAAAAGTAATTTGTCCTTTATTCAAACCACCAAAAGTAACAGTCTCTAGTGTTGAATTTTTCAACCTACTCCTCTTCCCTACGGCTACATCCTTTGTCCTTCACGTTATCATTATTTTGAATCAACCGCAGAGCGCCCTTCGTATCACGCTTTTGCCTGCTTTCTTCTTTCTTTAAATCAAATTTCATTACATCTCAATTCCCGAATCCTGTCTTTTTCAAAGAAACATTTAGCCTTTTCCTTTATAATTTTGGAAGTTAAATCGAATCCCACAGTAATCCACATAGGTTATTTATCTCACATTCGGATTATCGGATAGTTGCCATAGCATGAAAGAAGAAACAGAGTACTAAAAGCGTCGTCTGGATTATTATCTTCAAGGTGGAAAAGGTAGAAGAACAAAAAAATCTGACAATTTGGGGTTTCGAGAAGCTTCAGATGGAAAGAGTTGATAGCAGTGTAAAAAAGGACGAATTTGATTCGTTCGATAGCATCGCAACAAGTTCGAGTTCGATCCATTCAGTCACTTCTAAAGAATCTTGTTCTTCCCCTGCTCCTCTTGGTTGGCCTATTAAACAGGCTCAAGTGATTAGCAAATGCGATGTTTTTAAAGACAAATTGAAAACAAAAACCCATTTTGAAGGTGAATCCAAAACCAAGAAAATGAGTACAACAGTTTCAGGTACGTCGTACTTTCTGGTTTCTTTGAATTAATTCTATCTGGCCATTGCAAGAAAACCAGAAATGAGAATTTAAGGAATATGTACGTGAAAAGGACTCTTCCGTGGTTCAAATTTGTGAATATGTCTTTCTGCTCATTATTTGAATTCGAATGGGCGGATTAATTAGGAATAACTTCAAATTTTAAATGTTGAGAAAAAAGTTTCGAGCTTTATCACTTTATTGATTCCACTCAATTCGCTTTTCTTTTCATATCCCTTCTTTAATATATCAAAATCCTGTTTTATCTCGTAAAATCGAGTAGAAATGGAGATGATGAAAGAGAGATTCGGCAAACTATTACTCGGCGAAGACATGTCTGGAAGTGGCAAAGGGGTTTGCACAGCTTTGGCCATCTCAAATGCCATCACAAATCTTTGTGGTAATTATAGTCGCTTTTTTTTTTTTTTTAATTAATTTAATTTTTATGTCAAATTCATTAAAAATGCGTTTGTGTTGTGTTTATATGCAGCCACTGCATTTGGTCAGTTATGGAGATTGGAACCTTTGCCTTGTGATAAGAAACAAATGTGGAGAAGAGAGATGGAATGTCTTCTTTGTGTTAGTGATCACATTGTTGAGTTTAAACCCTCTTGGCAAACATTAGCAGATGGAAGTAGGCACGAGGTAATTTAATTTTTCATTCGCCATTAACAACCACATTTGAAAATTGAAATCAATCCCCTGAATAGTATTAATTAGTAACACATGTTTAAAATCATGCTACATTAGATCATGAGTTGCAGACCAAGATCAGATATTTTTGTCAACCTCCCAGCTCTTCGCAAACTAGACAACATGCTTCTGGTTAGTGTTTGATTATTTAATGATCGAAAAGAAGTCATTAATGTTGATTATTTAATTAAATTGTTTGATTTTTTACTGTTTATGTTCATATATGACAGGAAATACTAGATAGTTTCACTAGCACGGAGTTCTGGTACGTTGATAAGGGGATCACGACACCAGAACCCTCTTTCAGTAAGCGGCAAGAAGACAAGTGGTGGCTACCAGTGCCACGTGTCCCTGCTAATGGTCTTCAAGAAGCTACACGAAAACGATTAAACTATAAACGTGAATCCGCTAATCAGATTCTAAAAGCTGCCATGTCAATCAACAGTGTTTCTTTATCTGAAATGGAAGTTCCGGAATCATACCTGGAATCCCTTCCAAAGGTATACAAAACAAAATTAAGATCCGTAGTTTCTCAACTACAAATTCTAACACGCACGACACGTTGTTGTTTCTAGAATGGAAGAGCTTGTCTAGGAGATGTGATGTATCAGTATATAACATCGGAGCAATTCTCATCAGAATGCTTGCTAGATTGCCTTGATCTTTCATCTGAACATGGTGTTCTAGAAATTGCAAACCGCGTGGAAGCAGCAATGTATATATGGCGTAAAAAACCCTTACCTGCTAAAACATCATGGGATATGGTGAAGGATTTAATGGTCGATGGAAATAAACAGCGGGATTTACTCGCCGAAAGAGCAGAAAGCCTCTTGATCTCCTTGAAACACCGCTTTCCTGGTCTAACTCAAACCTCACTAGACACCACCAAGATTCAATGTAACAAGGTACTTACTAATTTACTTACTTCGAGATTGTTGTTTCCATTTCAGAAATCTTTAGATTGGGATTCTATGATTTCATGGTTGATTTCAGGATGTAGGAAAATCGATTCTGGAGAGCTACTCTAGGGTTTTGGAGAGCTTAGCATACAACATAGTGGCGCGTATAGACGATCTGTTATACGTAGATGATTTGTCTAAACAATCGGATAATCGAGCATCATCAAGAGTGAGCACAAGTAGTCACAAGAGGGTTTCAGTGAGCGTGAGCAGCACTGGGTCACCATATAGACCTAGTTTTGGGACACCGAAATTCTCACCCGGACCACCGCTAGTGAGCCCTGGAAGAGGAGACAGAACTCCTTTCTTGACCAACAATGGCAACAAGCCTCCTAGCCGTGGTTGTGGGGTCAGACGAGCTTTAACGAGCTATCTTGCTGGTGGGGAATCAAGGGTGAGGAATAGTTGTCAGTTGATAGAAGCTCCAGCTGCTTCTCTTTCTACAAGAAATGCAGAGCTACCAATCCAAAAGGAGAACCGGACTCCAGCTAGGGCACAGAGAGGTACTAGTTGAAGGGATTTGGAAGAGCTTTTTTTTTAATATTGCTGTGGATGTTTAAGGGATATGATCGATGCTAAAAGTTTAATGAATCACTAGTTCATCTCATCTGCTAGCACTTCAATCACAAAATTGAATGCAAGATACCAAGTTTGTTGTACAATATATATCATAACATTAACCTTATATTTGATTTTTTTTTTTTTTCGGTGCATAGTTAAGTAGTGTAACAACCTATGAGTACTCTCCACATCTGGGATATATGGCATCATATGCAATAATAATATCCATTTAAGTATAAGCATAGTCCAACAATGTGTGACGGGTTTAAACTTAACCTAACCAGGATATTACAACGGTCAAAAGTGTGGAAAGCAAACAATGTGTCTGATTTTCCATACAATATACTTATATGCTTATCGAATCATTTGCCTTGCTATTTATGTAGAAAAAAATATGATCAAATATGTAAAAGGTTTCAGGAACTTGAATTGGACTTTTATAAAAAGTATTAAATAAATGAAGAAAGAGATATTGGGCTCAAATTAAAGTCCCGCCCATTGTGTTAGGTCAAAAAGAATGAAAAGCCTAAATATTATTCAAGTGAAAAGGAAATCCTTAGATTTTGTATTTTAGATAAGATAAAAATTTTGAGGATTTTAAGAATTACATAAGAAACTTGTATTTTTAGACTTGTATAGGAAATTGAAAAATGAATCTGTACTTAGTTTAATTAAAGAAAAAAGGAGAAAAAAAAAATTTATTTATTATAATACTCTAGATGTTGACAAGTCAAGGCTTAAATGAGAGTATTATTTGTTTCCTCAGGGTATATCATCGTTTCCTGGTGTGGTCACACAATAATTTTGACAGGACACACACACCCCTTCCCCTTGTGTGCATGTGTGTGGCGATGGTGAAGAATAAAAGAAACTTCAGTGATCGATTGAGAGGTCAAAGAGAAAGAAAAAGAAAATTGGGGGATAGAGAAAGAGAGTAACTTGTAAAAAAACGAAATTGAGACAAATTCAAGGAAGGGAAGAACAATAAACACTTGAAGCGATGGTTTTCTTCATCCTGAACAGGCTAAACACTTGAAATTTCATCAAATATAAACAAGGATAAAGCAACCCTTTAAAGCCTTCATTAGAAATTACTTGGAATATATTGATGTGTTTATGTTACAAGTGGGGTTTAGATTCTCGAATTACTTCATCAAATGAGTTTAAAATTATTATAGAACCAAGTATATGTGCTGGATAATTGGAAACTTATATACGGGTATTCATTAAAGCAAATATTAGTAATATACCTTGTATTTTGAGGTTATGTTCATCAAAAGATTGTTGGAAATAGATTATCTGATTGCTTTAACTTTCATGAGTGTAAAACTTTGGCAAAAAGAGGAAATTATATATGAATGTGTTAAAAGGATAAATAACGAGGGGGCAATTCTGCAATTCGTATTATTACATTAGAGATAAATTGGTAAGCTTGTCAAATCTTTAAATGTTTAATTATTATACAAGTATATACGTGTATGTAAATATGATTCATATGACATTAATAAAGAGGACCTCAGTTGGCAAACACCAAGTATGACGTTATTTCTGAACAAGTAAAATACCTGATGAAACAGAGTCAACTGATTAAACAATTTTGAATTTAGAGAGTACTATGTACTATGACATTAGTAAAGAAGACTTCAGTTAGCACAATCTCTGATGTCGATAAATGAAAACCCACACGAGTACAAATGAATCTTGACTACACATAAAGACATGTACCCAAATTGTTACAACAATCTCATATATCTATCAAAAGAAGTTTAGGATGCCAAGCTCTAAGAAAAACATCACCAAGCAGTCATGTATCATATCTGAGCTAACTATGATTGAGACAATATGAACAAAGAAGTCAAGACAAGTAACCTATCAGTCATTTTCTTATAATAAAAAAAATGGTACATTAATGTAATATAACATAAAAGAAAATAACCTAGCCTTAAAAACTTGAGCTGAAAAATCAGCCACATGATAAAAAGGTACCAAAACTTAACATATCTCATCCATTATCAGCAAAACCATTAAAGATGTAACACTCACAAACAGAATCCAAACCTAGATGCTTATGCAACAATGGAAGGCTTAGAAGCAGATGAAAGCCTGGACCTCTTTTTGGCAAGACTCTCACTTCGCTTTTCCCTTTGCTCCTTGAGCCTGCTTGCAAGAAGCTTCTGGTAATCAGCAGCCTCTGATTTGGCCTTTGCAATCCTCTTCTTCTTGTCAGCAATTCTCGCCCTCTTCCTTTGCAGTGTCAATGGTGTCACCAACCTCTGTATCTTTGGTGCCTTGCTCACCTCCTTACCTGATATGTTTCAAATTACCATTATACCCTCCAACCAATGAAGCATTACCCTTTTTTTTGCAAGAGAGATAAAAATCAAAGGCTTACCAGCTTTGTTTGTGAAGGTTCTGCGATAGGTGTTGACATACTTCCTGACATCATCTTCTTTGGAGAGATTGAAAAGCTTGCGGATCTTTGAAGCTCTTTTGGGGCCTCTCATTCTTGGCTTCTCAACATCGGTCAGTCCGGGCAGATCATTGTCGCCCTTCTTCACAATCACAAGATTCAGGACAGACAGATCTTGGCTCACAATGCACCCACGCACTGACTTCCTCCTGCGTTCGCCATTACGCCTTCCATACCCCCTGAAGCAAGGAGTACCTAGATAGAGGACAGGGGCAAAAGTGTCATTTACTTATTATCAAAACAAATTGACCAAAGTGTATATAGAATGTTAAAAGTGAACCAACCTCGGACAAGTAAAAGACGAACACGCCCTGGAGTCAACACTCCTTGCTTCATTGGGAAACCTTGTTTGTCACATCCTCCCATGATCTTGAAAACGTATCCCTTAAACTCCTGTTAAACAAAAATAGTAGTTAAGTTGAATATCTAGTTATTGGTATGATTAGATTTTAATAATAGAAAGTATAGATGGATATACCTCTCCAAGTGCATCTCCATTGACTTCCTGGGAGATCCTCTTGTCATAAAAAGCACGACTGTATATATTTTGTTAAAGCAATAACTGTCAGTCTTATCAATGAATGCAAGGAACTTAACACTGTAATCAAGTTTTTTTGTGAGAACAAAAGATATAAATGTGTCCAGTTTTATCAAATACACGTAGTAAAAACATAACATATATAACAGCTGGGATTCCAAATCAATGCTCAAACCAGCCATCAATACAAACTGTAAAAAATGAAAAACAATGCACACGAAAGATAGCCAACTGCAATTCCTATTTCTTTTGGATAAAGAGAAGAGGATTTTAACATAATCAGGGTGAATCATCAAAAAATGAGATTTTGTTTGATGAAGAGAAGGGATTTCATTTTTTAGATAAAAAGATCACTAAACATGTTCTCGAAATCAATTTGCACGCTAAACCAAGAATCTGTCATTTCTAAAGCTAGAGCCAGAGATTAACGAGTATAACTGTCTACAGCAAGATTAAGACAACTGGGTGAACATTCAACAGGATTGCTACGAATAAAACAGAACTACTGAAGATAATGCAAGTAATTCTCTAGAAATTAGTTCATATATCAATTTGTGAAGTTGTAGTGAGTCTAAAAAACAATTAACATATAAGAAAAGAGCTTACAGCTTTTGGTCATCGTCAATTTCGAGTTTCTTCTGGCATCCAGTTGTTGGATTTGCAATGTTGAACTACAAAAATTATCACAAATACAATCACAAAACTATGAATATATAATTATGGATGTGATGAAATCAGGTTTGAAGGGATGATACCTTCATCTTCGGACAAGGAGGAGGAGGCCGCCGCGAAGATGATTTGTAAACAACGTTTCTTCGGTTCTTGATGAATTAGGGTTTTTTAACGTTGTTTAAAGCGTTTTTATATCCCGTGTATAATTCCCTTGACTGGGTTATTGGGCTTTTCTGCTCATGGATCAAGTCATCAAACATTCAAACTGACGTATGGGTTTTCTCTGGATTTTTTTTTTTTTCAAATTGATTTATTTAACTTTATTCTAAGTAAATAGAAAGAAAGATACAACATCAAAAAAGGCGAAAATATAGAAATAAACTAAATGTTATATATATATATATATATATATATATATATATATATATATATATATATATATATATAGGTTGTCGTTGTCTTTATTTACTCGGTAGATAGAGGTGAAATCCTTGTTTTTTTAGATCATTGTCATTTTCATCTTGCTCAATGAGTAGAGGTGACACATTCTGCTTCAAGTGAAATGACGATATATCGCTTCATGTTACCCTGATTAATCCTTCAAACAAATATGTACTTCCTTTGATCGGAGAAGGGAAGTTTTGTTCTCTAGAGATATATTTTTTACCACTAAACGGAAAAATAGATTTTAAAGCTATTGTAGAAGTTCGGACAATTAGTAAAGCACTAACAATGTCAAAATATTGGTTCATTTTATTTCCACAAGACAAAATATCTAGATTTCTTTTTAAATTCTTTATTGGTCTAGTTTTACTATTAGGAATAGATCTGGCAATGAGGTTGGGTTCGGGTTGGTGGGTCAGAATCTTTGACCCAACCCAACCCATATACTATATGGGTTGGCGGGTTGGCGGATTGAAAACATCAACCCAAGCCAACCCGTATAAGTATATGAGTTTGTGGGTCAATGGGTCGAATCCAACCCGTATAACCTATTTAATAAGCAACACATTTTAAAATGAAGATAAAATTTGCAAATAAAATGAAGTCATAAAGTTTTAAATATTCAACATAAAGTCATAAACAGGAGTGACAACAACAAGTGGTGTGCGACAGCCGGAGGACAAGAAGACGAGTGGTGTGCATGCGACACTGCAAAAGTCAGTGACTCAATGCCTCAATCGACGGAGACAAGAGATACGAAGTCGTGAGTTTGGAGACCGATGACTGGATTTCTTTTTGATTAGGAGATTCTTAAGGGATAGACACGTTAATTCGACTCCACGATGTTTTGCAGTTTTTGAATTCGAAAATTAATTAAATGATAATCAAATTTTCAAAACTGATAAATAATTAAATATATTTTTAAACATAATATATATATATATATATATATATATATATATATATATATATATATATATATATAGTATCTTATAAAACAAATCCTACTGTTTCTATAACTAATTTTAATATAATAATAATATTTTTTTAAGACGTTCAAGTATATAAACTTAAAGTACAACCAATCATCAATAAAATAATAACATTTTATAACTTAGCATTTTATCCAAGTTTGAATCCTTATAATTCTCCCAAAATATTGGTATCTGGTGCATTTGTAGATCCCATAGCTTCCGCAAATATCCTTAAATGTTGCATGTTTGATTGAATTTCAAAATTTGAATTCTCTGTCCCTTTGTTTCTCTCCCATGTTATAAAGCCCACCGCCAGAACATTCGCGCCATCATGTTAGTGTTCTTCTCCTACCTCTCTCGATCCTGGAAACCTAGATCGACCTTCTGCTACAACTACCATACCACGACTAATATATTTTTTCCCTTTTGGATTAATAATTTTATTCAGTAAGTGTGTGAAACATGAAGATCATCATCAGAACAAAAGAGGCTCACGTTTCCCAAGAGCATCATCAAACCACTACGCATGTCGTCCTCCCATTAGGTTATTGATGGTATGATTTATTTTGTTGTTCATCTTTCTTCTGTATGATTTCTAACCCTACGCTTCTCTCTAAACCTTATATCTACTAAAAACCCTACCCTAAGCAACCACCGTCTGCCGGAAACAATGACCTAATATGTTGGAAACAAAGACACCTACCCATCAGGTTCTATAACGTAGTATATGTTGATTGCACCTCTCTCTCTCTCTCTCTCTCAAGCATATTTGAATTTATGTTTCTCAAGTTCTTAGTCTCAATTGATGTATTTAATTTTTTTCAGTTTTTTGAATGCAAACGTTCTTCTGTCAACCTATTGGATGCCACCATCGATAAATTTATGTTGCAGTTTTGTTAATGATCTTCACTGGAGCAACGAGCAAGACGAAGATGTCGATAGGGAGGGAAAACATAAAAAAAAAATTATTGGACTTAAGGTTAGTTCGTGCTTTCTCAATTCCTAATTTGATTTCATTTTACGTCAATTTTCTGTTTTACTTTCAATCTCTCAGGTTTGCTTACCTTTTTCTACTATGCACGTCAATTCCTGGTTTTGACTGATACCACAATCTGCACTGAAACACGGTAAGCCACTCAAGGAAGTTGATTATCCCCGCTCTCTTAACCGACGAACTCGACCTGGCAGTGCACACTCACCTACAATTGGTTTTGAGTTTGAAGTCATTAAGTAAATCTGTTGTTGGTTGGATATTGCTTGAATTCGTAGAGAAATGTAAATCGTCACCCCTGCAGAGTGTTTTTATATTAATAACATTTAATTTTTACAATTTTGGACAATACTGAATACTACAAACTGTTTTTATATCAAAACATTATGGATTTTCATTTTTTTGACCATGTTGTCCCTGCACACTGTATTTATATTTAAAAAAAAATCAATTTTTATAATTTTAGGACCATATTGCCCCTGCAAATTGTTTTTATATTAGAAAAAATTCAAATTTTACAGTACACTGTTTTTATTTTTTTAAACAACATTGCATTTTCATTTTTTTTTCTAAAAAACTAACAGGTTTTAGCATTCAACTTTCTATTTTCGTGTAACCAACCGATAATAACAGTATGAGTGTTCCTATAAATATAACATGTTTTATATGAAACTAATTGCCCGAAAGAAACTAATTGTCGCTGCCGCTTTGCGCGGACAAACGACTAGTATATATATATATATATATATATATATATATATATATATATATATATATATATATATAATTGGGTTAACGGGTTGACCCACGAACCCAAACAAATAACTTAACCTAACCAATGAAATAAACGGGTTGGCAAGTTGGTGGGTTGGCGGGTCAAAAATCTCAACCCAAACCCGTTTATTTCGTGTTGGGTCGGTGTCGGGTTACAGGTTGGGTCGAGAATTATCACTCTTAATTAGGAATACAAGTTTGTGCTATTTTACCAGCTTCGTTTCATAAGTAATCAAAAAGTTGCATATTAGAATTGTTGGTATATACCATAAACACATTCTTTAAAATCAATGAAGTATGAAACGTTCCTTCACTTTCATTAATTTCATTCATTCTTCTTCTCCATCGCTATCTTACACATCTCTCATTACTTGATCCTCATCCGCACTATCATCATCTACATACTCTTGAGAGCTCACTACATCTCCTATCAAGTTCTTATGTTTCAAGTTGCCTATCAAAATACAATTTTATTGATTTAGCAACTCAACTATTATATCATTATAATGATAATAGAAAAACAGAATTTGCATCCACTTGATGAAGAATGAAGAATGAAGAATAGCCTTATCAATAACATGAAACAACAAACGTTCCAAATATCTCTTGGTTGTAGGCATTTTACTAGTGATACTCTTTTCTTTCAAACCCTTTCATAAACAAACATAAATATAAGCAAAACATCTAAATAAATATCCATGAGTAGACCGAACGGAGTGAAGCCACCGCTCGGCATAGGTGGCATACACCATCCCTCGACGGTGGCATGCCGAGTTGATAAGTTACAAATAGCATTTCATTGCCGAGGTAGGAGAGAGATGCAACGTCTATTTTATTTTTTGTTTTTTTTTTCAAAATTTACTAATTTAACCTACCAATTTAATTTTTTCAACCACTTTTTTTTTTAACTCAAAAAAAAAAAAAAAAAAAAAAAAAAAAAAAAAAAAACTAAACTGCCCGTTAAAGTTAATAACATTCAAAAGTTTTAAAAATCTCATCCACCCTCTATAAATACTTTTATATATTCCAACTCATTCCATACCAACCTTTATAACATCAAATCTCTCTCGACCTCTTAAATTCTAAAATGTCTTTTCTTAGCTAACAAAACACCCCTAGAAGAAACAAGAAAAAAGCTTAAAAACACTTCATCAAACAATTTGTCACTATCGACCTCTACTTGATGCATCTATCTACTCACCACCAATGTATCATTATCCCGGAAATGTTCCATACTATATATATGGAGCAAACAAACTTCAATTCCAATCTTCACCCCAATTGCCACCTCAATCCCAATTTCCATCCCGATTACAATCCTAACACTCTCCCCAACTCGATTTTAATGCATTTGAAACATTACAAGAAAATATATTCCAATCTACTGAATCAGATTCAATCGAATCCGATTATGCACCCATCGCTCAACCCGACCCTAGACTACTCAACCTTTAGCCAACAAGAAGAAAGAAGGGAGGGTTGATAACCAAAACTCAACACTAGATGAAGAAAATATGTTAACGAAATCATGGGTGGAATGTTGTAAGGAAAAGAAGAAAGCTTTCAAAAATATTGTTTTTAGAATGTTGTAAAGGACAAAGAAAAAAGATCTAACAATACACATTGGAAGACTTCACGAGTAGTTAAAAAAAAAACTAAAACATCTGAAAACTTACACAATCAATCTTCGGATGCACATGTTGGAATAAACTTCAACGATGACGAACCATATGATATTTCTAGGTCGATTTGTCTTATTGAAAGAGATCAAGAGAAGAGAAAGCTCAAAAGTGCCGAAGGTTCTTCAAGTGAGGAGGGGAGAGATGGTCTCATAGAGTTAAATGAGCACGTCCAAAGAAGGTTGCAACTTGCAAAACAAAAAAGAAAAAAAAAAATCGCAAGTGGAAGCTAATGATGAAAAACATTCCAAAATTACCAAGGAATCAACATCGAACCAAGGAGAAAGTGCAAGCGGAGCGTATCAAGAAATATAATTTTGACAAGTAGTATTAAGTCTAGGTTTAAGTCAAGTTTTAGGTCAAGTTTTAAGTATAGTATAAGTCAAGTTAAGGAATATTTATGATGTTGTAGCTTTCTTTTTTTATTTTAATAAAATGTTTGTTTTTTTCAAATGTATAAAATTTAATAAATAAATAAAATCTTGACTCA